CTCCACAAACTTGTTCTGATGTTTTCCCTTACATTCGTCGCTCTCCCCCTCAGGATCATTGATTTTTCGGCATAACGCAGAGAGCTTATTATGGGCTGAAAAGTACACCGGAACGTTGTAACGTTCCGCTACTTTTTTAAGTTATGAGAGACCGCGTGAATGTAAGTGATTACGGCAGGTCAGATTTTTCGACGTTAACTAACGTTTATTTTATCACGTCTAATTTTTTTCAAAGCCATCTGCAGCTTCAGCAATCGATTTCAGCGGAAAGCCTGCATGCACTGACGAGCCGATCGACCTGTTGGAAGTAAGCTTTCTTCCATTTCATTGGGACAGGATTTTCTCCTGTCCCGATGAAGTGGAAGGACAAAGTTTTCCTGTTCATTTCTTAAAACCTTTAATACCTATTTAAGGCAATCACCGCCTAGGAATTCGGCTGTGCATTGCAGCCGATGTGTGTGTACACCAGTGTTCAATGACATTGCTATTCTGGGCCGTCACAGTAAAAAGACTACCAGGGTAATCCACGAAGCGTATGTTATAAAAGCCAAGGGTGCAGATAAGTGGTTCAGTGGACTTCCTTGATCTTGACATAAAAAAGCGCTTATTTGTAGATAAAGAGTGGGCATCTGGGAAATGACGCGGGGTGTTTCAATTCAGTTGCAAGTGCGTCTTGTGTTGTCGTCTTCTTTACTTTGTCCCAGCTCTTGACGCATTTTTTTTTTGGTGCAATGAATTAACTGGTCATCTTCACCATTTTGATGGTAAACTTAGCTGTCTTTGTGTCCATTGCACTCATCAAACGCGTTTAAATGCTACAGCCAAACGCCAGACACCGGCGTCCCGCCTTCTAAAGCGTTCAACGATCGAGTGTAGAGGAGCCAAATGGTGCCCTTGTCTCCACTACACTCGGTAAATGCGTTCCAATGCGAGAGCCAAAGATGCGGTGTACAGCGTCCAGCATCCGGCGTCCAGAGTTGTAAAACGTTTGACCGGTGTAGTGGAGAAAAAGGGAGCTAGCTTTAGGGCTACCCACTAATTACTTCAACCACAGCTCGGCGTTCTGATGTTCCCGCGCTCTCCCATCTCTTCCTCTCCCTCAGTTTCTCGGCGCCTAACGTGGTGGCGTCTCGTAAACCTTCAAAGGATACCGCGATGAAAAAAGGATTTTCTAAAAAGCTTAAATGAGATACGTATATATAAACAAAATTACCACGCAAAATAGTTTTTTTTTTTTTTTTTTTGCAATATTCACGACGCTAGTTTTAGTTTCGGTGCCAAAGGTGGCGGGCGCATCCCGCTAAGCCCCGTCCTGTGTTAAAAAGTGCTAACATCTCTCATTGGCTGGAGAGATGATTGGCGTGTGAAAGGTTGGTTGTAAATTTGGATCTCCGTGGCGTTATGAAATTTGAATGGATTAATTGTTTGTTATGTTTGAGAAGCAAATAATTAAGATAGAGTCATCATTGTTTTCAAATGATTTCTGAAATTGCTTCACCCGCTTTGGTGTGAATCGTTAGCAAACATGGCTGCCGACGTCAGCGGAGTGCTGACCGAGCCTAGCTCGTTGAGCTCGTCAATATTTATGAGTAATGGTCGTTTTAAGTTCACAAACGTCTTTAGAGTAAGATCTCATCCGCCGACAAGGTTTTCAGCAAACAACTGTCGCAAGTACGCGCCTTCGGAAGTGCTTTGAAGATGCTCCTTTTCGTAGTAGAACTGGCCTAAGCTTAGCGTCCCGCATTAACTACTTTGATCGCTTTGGCTTGATTTTTTCTTTTGCATGTGTTGATGCTGAATATAGATGTACATTTCCTTAAACGCGGCCCCGCTCCTCTGTGAAATGTGCAACCGTCGTGGTTGCGACCTTGGTTTCAATACCGAGAAGGTACCTACACAGGCAAGAATTTGCGAGCTATTTGGCTGGAGGCAATTCAGTGTTAGGCTTGTATCAAGTTTGTCTAAGTATGTTCCCGTCATTTTGCCTCGAAAGTCAAGTAGCTCTCAAGTTTTGCAGTGGACCTGGCCTAACAAAGCGAATATTTTTACGTCGTGTTTTAATTCTGCGTATGCATACCGCTCACTCACCTTGCTCGCGGACGCCATGTGAAAAAAAAAAAAAAAGAAAATAACAGTAAAGCTGGATGGACAGCATATTTATTTTGTTGATTTGTTTACTACTCTCAGTCGCTTATTACGGCACATCGACAGGCGCTGACAGACGCTTGTATTGGTCCGTGGCCCGTGCATGATGGAAAGCTAGAACGCCGCTTTCATGGTCGCGTCTTCTGAGCGTTGCAGACGTTTTTACACGGAGGATGAATAGCAGACGGATGGAGGCGAATAAGGACACCGGCACTCAGCTTTCGTGTCCGCGTCTCTCGGGCATTGCAGACGACGATAGACGGTGGTGGAATGGCAGACGATGCCGAAGGCTGCCGCGCCTCTGCTCGCAAGTCTAGCAGACAGTGTCAGGCGCCTGACTAGACGCACCGAATGTCACGAAAGGGGCTACACTAGGCTTATGAGCATGTTCGGTCGAGCAGCCAAGCCAGTCCAGTAGTTATGGGCGGGTCCACTGATTTGTGGGCAGGGCTTAGAGAGGACCATGACCTCTACCCCGAAGGAAAAATCCATCAATGTAACCCTGCTTGGCAGTCAATGTTTTCTAGTGGACCGCTGACTGTGCCTAACTGTACGTCAAACATGTCTGATTGGCCAACAAGTTACTCTGACCGACAGTCAAACTCCAGTCAGACTCCACTTGTCGGCTCTCTGATGGTTTCCTGGTGGCAGTCGGCCGCCGCGAAATGCCATCAAGATGTCTTGGTGGCGATTCTGATTGTACATCGATTGGCTCTGACTGTACGTCAAAAAGCTTTGACGTGCAGACAGACGTACGTACGGTCAAATGACGTAAAGTTCGTTCGGATACCACTATTTCGTCAAATCTATGAATACAAAAAATAGTCTATGCACAAGAAAACGATTTCGGGACGTTAGCCCATAAAACCGCTGATGTTAGAGATATGACACGCAGCCGACCGACAACCTTGATCAGAAGCCCGCCGAAACGCCGAAAACGCCACTTCGCTGTCTTCGGTTCGCCCACTTCGCCGAGCTTTCATGAACGATCGCTCTCGACTCGTTTTGTTTGCCCGCTTACTCCAACCTGTCGATCCTGCCCGGGCTCTACAGTGTTTTATGTTTTAGTAGAATTTCTACTCGACAAGACCCAGCCTGTTGTGAGTTCCGACGATGTAAGGGACTTTAGCGGTGTAGTTGAAGACGACAAGGTGTACCAGGTCTACTGGGCCGGAGACGCGCGAACAAAGGGATCGTTCTACGGCGCGAAAGTACTCTACATGGCAGGTGAGTAGAACTGAAGTACGGCGAGTGATGTACGAGTGCTTTGCATAACATGGTGAAGTCTTAACTGCATTTGCAACTGAAGCATCTCGTTTAAAACGGATGGTGAAATCGAGTTCTCTAAGAAACGGCGTAGCATAGCGGTTACGGTGTCCGATTTGTACGCAAGTAGTCGCGGGTTCGATCCGCGGTAATCCCGCTTTTTTTTTTTTTTTTTTCTCGAACATTTTGTTTTGTCGAGGCATTTGGCGATATTTATGAGTGCTTATAGCTTTACTCTTATATAAATGCTGCCCTTGTTGATGAAATTCCCTTGGCAGTGGCAGTCAGACGTCATCTGATGCACCATCAGATGACGTCTGATGGTCCATCACGTTCCACCAAGGCTGCTGACTGGCAGTCAGTGTCCCAAATTACGTACCTTGATGGAATTTTCAATAGGGACCTAAAATAATTTTACAATGTGCGGGTCCCAAATCAGCTTTAAGAAAACATTTTTTTTATTGCAGTGTCTTTTGAAGAGTTCACGCGACGCCTGACCACGCAATTAGACAACGTAAGCCTGCTGAAGGCCGCACGTTCCAAACAAGCACCCTGCCATTCTTAGTTCAAAATCAAATTCAAATTCAAATTTTTATTTTATTTTCGCTTAAACTAAGGGAGGCAGACAAAAAAGTATCGGAGTGTTGCTTGAGAAGCCTCTGCCGCCATACCAGAGCAGAGGGCATACAACAAACAGGCACAATATCTCTAGCATTACTAACATAATTACTAAGAAACAAAATATTAGTATCAAAGATAGCCAAAAAAGAAAAAAAAAAGCGAAATCTTACAATCACCTTATGTTCTTATCATGCAGACACAGTTAAAAAAACGTCCGCAAAGAGAATTGAAGGCATCTTTTTCCGGTTCCCACCCAAAATGTTCATGTTCGATTCAATGCACCAATTTAGAAAGCGCGGTAGTGTAGGTCTAATCATTTGATTGTCATAATTAGTTCTTGAATGCAGTACATAATACGGAATGTGGTTCATAATATATTAATTCAAATCCAATAAAGGATAGTTATATAGACCGATTTTCAAACCGACAAAAATCTCTGTCGTTTTGAAAATGGAAGTATTCGGAGAGATAACGTTTACTTTATCAAGTAACGGCGAAATATTTTGCTTCTCACGTAATCAAAAAATCTAATTGAATACTTTTTTTTTAAATCAAAAGTAATTGTAATTGTAACTGATTACTTTTTCGAGTAATGTGTACACGACTGCTCTGTCCCCCCCCCCCCCCCCTTTTCTTTTCCTCTTAAAGTATCTATTGTTAAAGAAATAACAGGAAACAACATTTACAGGAATTCCAAGAACATAAAAAAAAAACAGAAAATGAATGGCCAAAAAATTGCGAAGGTTTTTTTTTTTACGCAAAACATTTGCGTTACACGCAAAATGACACCTGTGAACTTTATTTTATTTTATTTTCTATATAGTTTTTATAACCATGCTGAGAGCAACGCGAGAGTTTTGAAGAACTAGATTTCTAAATTTTAAGTGATATATCTACAAAATTGCGCCTCATGTTGGGCCGTAATGACGCTTTCGTTTCTTGAATACCCACACACCCGAAAAACGCATCTATGTTGAAGGCTTTTCTGATTCTGTTACAAGGTCATCACATGCTTCTTTGTTGTAAACCTCTTTAAAGCTTGTATCACAGAAGAACAGGTAAATGAGTTGACAGTGGAGGAGCGGGCTGTCTTTGCTTCTTGCTTTCACCCAGAGAGCGCATCCTAAATTGCCAACTGCAAAAAAAGAAAATGTAAAGACCGTTAAGCGGTATCTGTACGTACCCAAAATAGTACACATTGTTAAGTTGCCCGCGACACTGTTAGTTTATAGGCAAATAAAAACTGCAACATGGTATCACTTAAAATTGAATACAATATTAAAGATCTGGTTGCCTCGTTGAAATAATACAAATAATTTACTCATTTTTGATTGAAAAGTGCACAAAGAAAACAACAAAAATAAACCTTATGAAAATGGATATTGAAATACATTCACAATCATGTATTAACTGTTTTTACGAGAGCATCGAGTTTGTTCCTTCTGCTACGCGTTCTGTTCCAGCTAACGTGTGCCGAGTTTAAATAACACGCTTGCGCGCACAACGCGCGTCGAACCAGCGTAGTATTGTTCACGGTCCTATGGAGGACGTTCAGGTATTTTAACACAGAATGTGTCATTAGGCTGGATTTCATGCAATAAGTGTCACGCTGTAGTGTGACAAAAAAGGTTACACGAAGACCAAGCACACATAAAAGAATACCCAACCCATAGCAGGCAATGCATAGGCATTCAAACAGAAGTCATATGCAGTCATAGTTTGCTGTACGTAATCATAATTAGACGTAATTAATCGTAACAAGCAAGATTTACTACGCGGCTCAGTGGAAATTGAACCCCGGACCGTGTGATCCGTATCCAGATGCCTTTGCTCGACGTCTCAAGGAGGATATGAAAGGGAGTCCAAGCAGCAGGAACAGGTTAGTACGACTGACGAGAGCCTGCGTTTGCACATCATCGTAGGCGCCTGCGAGTGACTTATGAATGAGGAAGCGTAGCTCCCCAAGCCAATTTCCGACGTCGAGGGCACTCGCGCGTTGAGCGTGGAGCGTGTGGGACCGATCATAATTCATAACGCTCTGACAACTCAGAGGGCGTGTGACGTCCTGACTTCGCACAGTAACCAATTGATAGCGTAGCGGGCGCGATAAGTCTAAAGCCGTAGAAACAATGCTAATAAATGGGACAGGCTGTTCGCTGCGACATGATGAAAGCATTATCTGCGGACCTAGGCTGTGCAGTATCGCAATACAAATGTATCGCGACAGTGTTTCAGAAACACATTATGTATTTATATTTCTGTATCGCGATACAACTTTTCAACGGTGCTTTGTATTTCTGTATGAAAGTACATTATCGGGTGTATTCCTTGTATTGCAATATTATAGGGCCGATGTATTTCGTTACAATTTTAAAAGAATTGTTGCCTCCACACCCCCCGTCATTTACCTGCCCGTCGCCCCTCGTATGCCGACGTTTTTCCACGGGGAGATCTAAGAAGACGTCGAAGATTGGCTGCAGCAATACGAACGGGTGGTGCTGCACAATCAATGGACTCCGGAACAGCGTCTGCAAAACGTATATTTTTCCCTCGAGGGCACGGCGCGACACTGGTTCGAGAATCGTGAAACTTCGATTAAATCATGAGACCCGCTGAAAGGAGAGATGCGAGGGACGTTCGCCAGTCAGCACCGAAGGGAGACAGCCGAATACCTCTTTCGAACGGGGACGCAAGGCCCCAAGGAAAGCGTCACCAGCTTTGTTCAAGACGTCCAGCGTCTGAGCGCGCGTGCCGACCCACAAGCCGCCAACGAGAAGAAGCTGCGTGTCCTCATGCGCGGAGTGAGGGACGACATCTTTGGGGGCCTCGCCCGCAACCCTCCGACCACTGTCGAAGCGTTTGTCACGGAGGCAACGAACATGGAGCGCGCCCTCCAAGCACGCGCCTCCTACTACCAACGACATCCCGGCGTCGTTGCCTCCACGCTGCTTAACGACGAGATCGGCGCCCGTACCCGGGACATCCGTGAGGTTATCCACGATGTCGTCCGGGAGGAGCTCCAGAGGTTGCTACCTGCCGCCAGTCCTCCGGCATCCATCTCCATCGCTGAGGCTGTTCGTGAAGAAATTCACCGGACACTTCGGCCGAAGGTTCCCGGCACCATGGTAGCGCAAGAGGAGCCGACACTGAGCTACGCCGCCGTAGTCCGCCGACCGCCGCCTGTTGCCCATCAATACCAGGCATCATCTCGACGGGACAATCCAACGCCGCAAAACCCTCGACGCCAAGAACAAGTCCAGGACGGCCGCCCGGAGCGACCCTCGCCGAGGAAGACCGACGCGTGGCATACGGCCGACCGACGCCCGCCTGCTACCATTGCGCGGAAGCCGACCACATCTACCGCGGCTGCCCCTACCGTCGTCTTGGGCTGCGTGGTTTCCACCCGAACGACCCACGCCCGAGGTACGGCGAACGCCCTCGCGATATCGAGGAGTACCTCCAACGCTCACCCTCACCAGTTGCGCCTCTCCGCCGTGAAGCCCGCTCCCCATCGCCACGACGTTCAGCGTTCCAGCACCACGACCCCGCCAAGGAAGCCTGTCTCCCCTTCGTCGCCGGGAAAACTAAGTGCGGCAACGCCCGGATGTGACGTTACCGGAAACGACCGAAGCAAAGAGCCCCCAACAGCGCCGTAGCACTCCCACTCTCCCAAGGCCCGGATCGCACCGACGCCCCTGCATTAGTGTCCAACAATTCAGTCTTCAGTGGGAGGCTCCCTCACCGCCTTCGAAAAGTGACGACGCCGTGGGAGGGGCCGCAGATACGAACCGTTGGGGGACATCTCATTACGCCTGTCGGAAGGTGCACTGCTCGAGTTGAAATCCACGGTGAGACGTGCGCTGTCAAGTTCCTCGTTCTGCAAGACTGTTCGAGGGACGTTATCCTCGGAATAGACTTCCTCTGTGAGTATGGCGCCGTCATCGACCTGAGAACAAACCCGCTGACGCTACGAAAACCTGCTCCACCACCGGAGGAACACAAGGCGACGTCATCCGCGGTCCGAGTCCTCGCAAACCACGTAAACTTACCACCGCGGTCGGGTGTCTACGTACTCGTCGGGACCGATGAAGCTTCCGGCGGCGAAGTTATTCTCAGGGGAAGCCTCGAATTGCTCTGGAGAAAAGGAATAGCCATCGCAAGAGGAGTAGCTGAACTTCAGGATGGGCGGACTATGGTCGTCGTGGCGAAGTTTCGAAATGAAACGCAACACATCACGAAAGGTGCAGCCGTGAGCCACGTCGATGAACTCCGAAACTCCACCGAAATCGCCGCGATTACTGACGAATTCTCGCCACCTCAGCAAGACAGTACGTCGCCAGCTCAGCTCGACATTGACCCTAAATTTCCGGGCCCGAAACGTGTGGAGCTGATTAACCTGCTCGCCGAATACCGCGACTGCTTTGCGACGTCGTCGAAGGTGCGCCAAACCGCCGTAGCGAGGCACCGCATCGTTACCGAGCACGACGCGCACCCTGTGCATCGATCGCCGTACAGAGTCTCCGCTAAAGAAAGGGAGGTGAATCAGGAGCAAGTTCAAGAGATGCTGAACGACGACATAATCCAACCTTCAAGCAGTCCGTGGTCGTCTCCAGTCGTGCTGGTTAAGAAGAAGGACGGAACGCTTAGGTTCTGCGTGGGTTACCCGCAGCTGAACGCGGTGACGAAGAAAGACGTCTACCCACTCCCCCGCATCGACGACACTCTAGACCGGCTGCGCCACTCTCGATATTTCTCATCCATGGAACTGAAGAGTGGCTACTGGCAGATCGAAGTCGACGAACGGGACCGAGAGAAGACAACCTTCGTCACGCCGGATGGACTGTACGAGTTCAAGATGATGCCCTTCGGACTATGCACGACGCCAGCAACTTTTCAGCGAGTCATGGACACAGTACTGGCAGGTCTTAAGTGGCAGAGCTGTCTCGTCTACCTAGACGACGTCGTAGTGTTTTCCAGCGACTTTGACGAGCACTCGCAACGACTCCGAGCTGTTCTCCAAGCCATCCGAACCGCCGGACTCACCCTGAAGCCCGAGAAGACTCGCGCCGTCGCGGCATTTCCAGCGCTGACAGACAAGGAGGCCGTGCGAAGATTCCTTGGACTTTGTGCCTACTATCGACGCTTCGTTCTGGATTTCGCAAGGACTTCCACGCCGCTCTCAAAACTCATGAAGGACGCCGAGAAGTTCGAATGGACCCAGGAGCAACAGCAGGCATTCGACGAGCTGAAGCGAAGACTCCAGACTCCTCCTGTCCTTGGACACTTTGATCAGGATGCTGAAACCGAGATTCACACGGACGCGAGTAATGCACGACTTGGAGCGGTACTAGTTCAAGTGCAAGAGGGCACCGAGCGAGTCATCGCCTACGCAAGTCGGACGCTGTCCAAATTGGAGAGAAATTACTCAACGGGACTGAAAAAGAATGTCTTGCGGTCGTATGGGCAATCACGAAGTTCTGCCCGTTCCTGTACGGGAGCCCGTTTCGCGTAGTCCCGGACCACCACTCGCTCTGCTGGCTTGCGAGACTCAAGGACCCGTCAGGACGCCTCGCTCGATGGAGCCTCCAACTACAAGAGTTCAACATGACTGCGGTTTACAAGTCAGGTCACAAGCACAGCGACGCTGACTGCCTGTCCACGGCCCCTGTCGAAACACCTTCCGGCAGCAGTTACGACGATGACGACGAGTGCTTCCTGGGAGCAGTGAACACCGACGACATGGCACGACGTCAACGAGACGATCCGGAGCTGCGCGCCTTAATCGAGCACCTGGAAGGGTGCAGGGGTACTGTAGCACGTATTTTCTCACGAGCGCTGCCGACCTTTGTCATTCGACGAGGGGTACTTTACAAAGAGAACTTCGGGGACAACAACTCGCCGTGGTTGCTGGTAATTCTGACCGACATTCGGCAGGAGATCTTCCAAGCATATCATGACAACCCGACGTCCGGACACCTTGGTTACAGCCGGACGCTGGCCCGTATTCGTGAAAAGTATTACTGGCCCAAGCTCCCCAAAACTGTCCACCTCTACACCCGATTATGCCACGAGTGCCAGCGACGCAAGAAACCACCGACAAAGCCGGCAGGTCTCCTGCAGCCAATCGCCCCGTCAACTGCACCATTCGAGCAGTTCGGAATTGATCTACTTGGTCCTTTTCCGCCGTCGACCATGGGGAACCGTTGGATAATCGTTGCCACCGATCATCTCACGAGGTACGCAAAAACGAGAGCCCTTTCTTCGGGGACAGCTGTTGAAGTCGCCAAGTTGTTCATCGAGTCCACCGTACTCCGGCACGACGCTCCCGAAGTTCTGATTACAGATCGCAGATTATCGTTCATGGCACAGCTGACCCAAGAAATCCTCCGGCTCAGTCACACCAGCTATCGTCGTACCACTGCGTACCACCCGCAAACCAACGGGCTGACGGAGCGACTCAACAAGACAATCGCCGACATGATCTCTATGTACAGTGCCCCTCAAACTTAACGCCACCACTCGGTTTCACAAATATTGATCTATTGCATGCTGCCCAAAGATAAAAGGATCGCTGCAGCTACTGCAATACCTTCCCCTGGATGGGTTTTCATCGGCGACACAAATCTTCACCAACTATTTCGACCGCTAGGTTCAGGAATAGCTCAAAAAGTGAAGAAACCGGACGATCTCGTGGCGGCGTTAAGTATGGGGCGCACCGTACGTCGACGCAGAGCACAAGCCGTGGGACGAGGTGTTGCCCTACGTCACGCTCGCCTGGAATACGGCCTACAATACAATGTGGCTCTAGAGACCACTGGGCTCACAACTTTCCAGCTGGTACATGGACGGAATGCAACGACCATGCTGGACGCGATGCTGCCCCATGAGCCAGCTGACAATGAGAGCGACGACACCCAGGTGGTTGCTCAACGGGCCGAAGAAGTCCGCCAGCTCGCCCGACTCCTGATTCAAGACCAGCAACGCGTCGACGCGGGCCGCTACAACCCGAAACCCCCAAAAGCTACCCTAACCAGGCATAAAAATGATAAAGCAAGCGTAGTGCGTCCAAGACATTTCGTGCGTCCCGGCAAGGTTTGAGTCTGATTAATATAAGTTTTTTTTCTTTTTTTTAAGTTAGCTATTTAATTTGGATCATTTAGCCGATTTGGCACATCGCAAAGGTATCTTGACTCTATCAGTAAGTGTGGGAACAATACTACGTTGGTTCCACATGCGTCGCACGTGCCAGTGTTTTTTTAAGTCTTGGCACGGGTTACCTGAAATACTCTGTATACGCCTATAGTGTATCGACGAAGACCTCAAATGCAACCAAGATACTGATCATGTTTAAAAACTCCTAAGAGCACTAACAGCTGATAAAAAAACACTGTCTGCCTCAATCAGTCTTAAGACTTACGTTGTGCGCTGGAAAGGTCTGTGATAAAATACTCAATAAAAGTGTACTATCAATGCGGGAAATAATTACACAATAAAATGAACTATACTAAATTATGTGGATACAATATCTACTCTGGTGAAAGTTGTTGTGTTTAGTTAGTTTACATTTTCAACAATTATATGCTCCACCATTTCGGGACCTGCTCGAACTCAATGTTATTTTAAAAGCAACATTTTAACGACAAATACACAATAAATATATGCACTGCGTGGTACTGTTAACGCGTACGGTATGTAGGCGCTTCTTTTGAATTTTACTTCGAAAGGGTATCGACATGCACCAAAGGTTTGCCGGTTTGGTTAGTGCTCCAGATGAGCAATTCCCACCATACTTATAGATTTATGTGAACCTGTTTATACTCAGAGAAAAACATAAAATACATAAAATGGGCGATCGCTTGTTGGCTTTATCAGTGCCACGCTATGTAAACATGTCATAGTTAAGACGACAAAGCGTGTTCCACGAACCGTTTTTATTATCCAGGTAAGGCAAAGCTATCATATCATACTAAGTTCCTAGATTCTGGAATGAACATCTATTAGTACTAATAAGAACCTCTATATTAAGTACACAAAAATCACACTAATCTTTGACTATTTAAAAAGGATGATAAGCAAATAAAAGTGGCGGAAAGTTAAACAATAAAATTAATTGTCTGTGGTTTTCGTATAAACACTTGAAATGGAAACCGTTTGATATAATAAACAAGTGTATAATTAGAACTGAGGATTCAAACCAGGGTATGGTGAGAAATTATCTGCCTAGTGTAAATATCTATTTTAATGCTCACATCTAAAATCTTTACCCGGTTTTACAATATACATATAACAAAACATATACAAACCGCCTAAATGAAAAGGAGGGGAATGACATGTTCAGTGTTATCTCTTTTCTTTTAGCTTGAAAAAATTGCAAGGTAGGATATATGAAAGTATTTTGAAACTCCCAATATCTGATGAACCTCTGTCGTGACTCTATGTACAAACCCTACAGACTCGTCCAGTGATTTGTATTTGCATGTATAAAATATTTGGGACTGAATAAAATATATTGATTAATTAAAAACAAAAGAAATGCTCATGAATAATACACCGGTGCAACCTTGGTGCAAAATACAAAGGGTACCCCGTCGCCAAGCTGTGAAAGGTTGCCTTCACAAAGTTTCTCAAATTTATTATTTGTGTTATGAGCCCTAAGGTCTATCCAAAGACGGTTAAATGGAATGTTCATGTGTAATTTCCAGCCTCAATCATCAATTAGTTTCAGTTCTTTTATCGTAGTCTGGCACGACATATAGACGACGTACACCTGCTTCCCTTGGGAACCTTTCCCTATTTAAAAATTAATCTTTATTGAACATTTTGTCCAGTGTGAGTTGCAATTAAAATATTTATTTTCACAATAGTTAACGTAACAACGCAGTATTCACATTACGGGGACAGCATGTGTGTTTGGCTACAGATCAGTAGGGTTGAGATACTCACAGACTGAATCTTTCAGAATATAATATATCATACACTTAGAATCGGCGAACACAATAGGGAAGGTATGGCCAATTTGCGGGAAATCTAGAAGAGGAAATAAGCAGGATGTATAATTTAATTTTTCGTAAGAAATCTAAAATGAAATGGTCTATATGAGGAAAATAAAAAAAAAGATTGACTTAATCTAGAATAAACAGGAAAATAAACGAGAAAAAAATCTTGTACCATAAAGCACACGCTGACACTCAAGGTATTATGAAAATGCAACTAACAAATCAAAATATTCTGCGTAAAATAGATATAAGATATTTTCCTTAAAAGTTCTTAAGTGCAGATCAACTGCGTCCTGAAGAGCGCAGCAGAATACCTTGCTGCGCTCTTTATACACACAGTTACTTTCAATTTATCCTTAAGAAATATAGAAATTTGTATTTTTATAACTTTTGCTTGAGGGACTTTTGTAAGCGTTGCATTTTTGTTTACGCTTTTTGACGACCTTGCGGATAATATTTTTTTAATCGCAATGCTAGACAGTAATTGGCAGAGAAGACTTGTCAGACCCAAATACCATTTTCTTCTGCCGCTCTGCTGGCCTTTGTCTGCAAACCCCAATGAATGAATGATTAAAAGTTGATGGCATAAACCCAAAGGCAACACCTACAATAAGCTGTAACAATAGGTGGTTACTGCTAGCAAGATAACATTATAAGTATTTGAACGCCAGACGTTGTTGTAGACGCAGCAGTCGGGCCGATAATAAGGTTTTGTGTTTATATTAAGAGGTGACGTGTAGGTCACTAAGGACTAGAGACGCGAATTGAGGATATGAATAAGGGAATTGTCAGTGACAAGTAGGTCCAACCGCGTTTGACTTTCTTTCACTAGCTGCGTTAAACATATGTACGTTTGCTCGAAGAGGTTACTTTAATTACACAAAGATTATTTGCACTCTCATTAATTACCACCATCACGAGATCTCGCGACTACCACCACGTCTGCGTCAGCACCAAGCGCTCAAACAAGCAATTTTGTTCGCAACTTGTAATAGAAAGTAATTTCGTCTTGCAATTACACGAGAAACAGAAAACAACCACTGAATACTCCTGAATGAAATGTTAAGGCGACATTATGGAGCCGAAATGTTATTTGACTCTTTGATTTTCAGTTGAATTTTGCACTGATCAAGAATTTTCAGCCAATTAACCGCTTACCTTTGATCGAGTATTTGAGCTGTAATCGTTCTAGTGTTACTGAAAAAAAAAGTTCTACTTTATACCGGTCTATACAGAATCATAGCAGTCGGGGGGGGGGGGGGGGGGCGGCCCCCTCCCCCCCGACTGCTATGATTCCCCCGAAATCTTCGATTTTGCTGGGACGTCCTCTCCCCCCCCCCCCCCCTCATACAGCATTTTTTCATGGGCGGGCCCCCCCCCCCCCCCACCCCCCCCCCCCCGAAACAAAATCCTGGCTACCGTGCCTGTACCAGCCACTCCACACTTATGCCGATTTCCGGCAAACAAATACGGTTCACCTGGTGTCGGATACCGGTCAATGACACGGATTTACTGATGCCGGTAAAGTGCTACAGAGAACGCCGGTAGGGTACAACTGTAGACAAATCATACAGCCATAATAAAATGCTAAAGAGCGAAAAAACGGGGACAGTGAAGAAAAACGGCAGGCGCTTTCTGTATTCTGTGTTTCTTTTATTCCTTTCATTGAGTAATGGATCAACTAGCTCTATTCAAAGTTTTAATGGATACAGCCAGGCGGATAGTATCCTCGTTCCGATATATCGGTATCTTCATACAGGTTATCAGTATTCAGTGGCGGTGGGCTATAGCCACGTACCGGTGGGCCCCGGCAGATCGGTGTGTCATATGGGTATTCCGGTATGTCGTTTTCAAATTTCTTGGGCATTCGCGCAGCGGATATCTTAAATACATTGTACATTTGAATGGGCTCTTAGGAATCCTGAAATACATAGGGTGAACCCAACTATGATATCTAAATGGAACAGGCGGGTAAGCGTGCACTACTTAGGTCTCTAAGCGATCCAAGCAGCCAGTGGTTGATTGTTGCCCAACACCATCTGCTATTAGGGGCATTCCGTGATTCGTCACATTAAACTACAGGACCGGACCTTCAAACTGTGTGTCAGGCTGAATCGGGCGATTTCATTGTTCTAAAATGAACCTCTGAGAATGGGCCTTCATCGTTGATCGGAGCAACACGCCTACCATGATCACAACATTTCACGGTATCTTGGACGCCCCCAACTTCTTGCAAGCCCCTACAAATTGCGAAAGGGCAAGACGCAGCTCACTTCTGAGCAATCCAGGCAGCCACTGGTTGATTGTCATCCAAAAGTATCTACTATTACAGGCACTTTGGAATTAATACGATAGCCTCACTCTAAATTGCACATGCATTGCTGAGGGGATACTACCGCCTTGTCTTGTTTCACGTGCGAGTGAAGACGGAGTTGAGATGACCTCTAAACAATCGTCTACTAATACAAAATTGCTAAATTTCCTGGAGATCTATGCACTAAGCTAGACACAAGCACATCGAAACTCAAGAGCGAAATACTGTGTGATGCCATCTAACGCAGCAATACAGAAAGACCTTTCCGGCGTGTCCTTTATAAATGCGATGTCATGTATAGATGTATTTTTAGAGCGCAGCTCTTAGGGGCCCGTTTCCAGCCTGAGCGCCGTCGGCGTCGGCGTCGGCGTCGGCGTCACGGTCGGCGTAACCGGGGGGGGGGGGGGGGTCACGTGACCCCCCAAGGTCACGTGACCCCCCTCCCCCGAGATCACGTGACCCCCCGGGGTCACGTGACTACCCGCAGGTGGCGTCACCCCCCTCAGTACCCTTCCCTACTCCTCCTCAAGAGCTGCGCTCCAATTCGGCGTTACAGGGATTTGTAAACGGCTTTCATTTTTAAATGCAAGCTTCGAAGAACTTAAAGCAGTGGTTGAATAACGCAAAACTGAAATCGCTACTACGAAACGTGAACAGCGGCAAAGCCGGCATGACCGTGTGGTCACGCACGCACCCGGGAGAACATTTCTCCGCTCGACTCGATCGCCTACGGAAGCTTCGGGTTACGTTACCCGGCTCAGGTGCAGCGTAGTCGACAGATCTTGCCACACGCTTACATCGGCTCCGCGCAATATCCATTCCATAACGTTGGATAATATCCTAGCAATCTCACCATCTACAGCGGACACTACTCTCTCGTCCGGCTGCCGTGCTGCCTCGCGGTTGCATCACTTCACGCCACCGCGAGGTAACCCTCGCCACGAGGGTACAAACGATTGCGGCGCAGGATGACACAGGGAGACGAGACGGAGACGAGACGACTTGGGAACAGCAGCCTGGACGGACGCCGATACCGCGACTTCATTATTATTCTCGATTCGGCCATATCTTAGCTAATAAAACGTTAGTGTTCTTACCAGCCGTTCCAGACCAGTTACACTTCTGAGTTGGGCTGGAAAAACCTAAGACGCTAAAAGTCTATCGAGCTAAAAAAAAGAGCTCTCGCAAGCAAAGAAAACGTTTGTAGAATTAAAGCAGTGAAGCAAACGAAGCAGAATCGAAATAAACGTAGTCCGCCTTGCACCAGCCGAGTCCCATGACGAGCTAATCGTGAACGTCAGCCAGGAGTTTAACACTATAATTACAAGTCACGAAGTAGACGCCACCCGCTGAGTACCATCAAAGGATGTAATGACACAAAGCATCCTTGCGCGTTTCCTCGCGTGCTCCATACGTAACGGTATACTTCTTGCGACAAAGAAACAGCGCCTAAACACGGCGGTTCTCGTATTTGCTTCAAACGAACATATCTATGCCAACGAGCACTTGTGCATGTGAAACAAAATCTCTCTTTGAAAAACTGTTCAAATGAACTATAAAAAAATCTGAAACCTGCGCGTTATCCGCTTTACTCGTAAGTAGTGATTACACCATTTGAACAAAGTCATTATCACAGGTAATCTGGATCACCTGCGCGTTATCCGCTTTACTCGTAAGTATAGTTACGAGATAACGCGCAGGTGATCCAGATTACCTGTGATAATGACTTTGTTCAAATGGTGTAATCACCCTACCTTCTTTCCAACACAGTAGATCGGGACTTCAAAGCAAAGCGTTCTTTGTCACCATCATCATTGCTGAAAGGAGGCCTACCTTTCCGAACTGCACTGTAGCGACAGTATGTTTAACGAAAATGAAAAGATACTAGATGAATCCAACATTCATTTACAAGTTATGATATAAGATGCATAACCGAAACATAACTAAATGTTTATGTTTCTATTAACATTCTTCGATATGTTACGGTATCACTACCAAGAGTCGCAATCTATAGGGTAGTGGTGTTGCCCTCTATGTAAAATTATGACTAAGGCTTAACGTGCTTTCTGAATTGACATGTTCAGATATGGATTTTGAAGCTTTTGTTTTATAACTTTGTATTGGCATTGCAGTGGCTAATGTATATAGATCACCAGATTCCTCTACGCCTGCTTTGCTAGATAAAATTTAAGATATTTTTACTTAACTTGCGCCTAGTAATAAAATTCCCTGCAGAAACCACTATTGTAGCTTGTCTATGAACTGCGATACCATTCGCCATGAGAGTCACGACGCAGCTCAGTTTGAATACGCCGACGCAAATTTTGAGTGAACACTCTATTTTATGAATGGTTTACTACTGAATCATTAACCTCGCTGAGACTGCATCTCACCACTTAGAAATTGATTGATTGCTTCGTCTCTATGTAATCGTTTAATCTCCTGTATCTGTGTATTCGTTTAAGATTCTGACTGTGTAATCATTTAGTGTTCATGCTGTTTCCCCGCATTCATTGTAGCTTCCTGTGTGTGTCTTGCCTTATTTATGTGTAACCGTTTGATGTTCAAGCTGTTTTACTACCATCATTGACCATGTACCAACTAGCTCAACTCAAACTGATAATTGCTTCGTAACTTGGGCGTAAATAGGAATGTGTGCGTGCTGCCGTTCCGTCTATACGGGGCGCGGGTTTATCTGTTTGCTAGGACGACGTCAA